GGCTCCCGGTGCGGCTGGTTATATGGCTACAGGGATGGTAAGCAATGACGATATGGGTAAAGCGGAACTATGAGAGCTGACGTGGATCAGGAGTACGTACTACCTCCCTCCACAGTTTGCCGACATTCATTTACAGGCATAATGTGTGTGTGAATCTCCCAGTGAGGATTTAAAGGTCTGCCCCCTGCTCCTCCTGCATTGCCTGGCCGGAAGTGCAGTAAAGTGACGGCGGCCAATGACGTTGACGCACATGTCTCTTTATCGTGTCCCAGACATGATTAGTGGGGGAAAGGTCTGGATTCATTGCTGGCCACGGTGGGTGAGCATGGCCGTTGTCGCCATGAAAGACCAAATGTCGACCACACGAGCTGTTACCGGGACAACAAGGGGTGTCTGTATGTTGTCCCGACTGTACTGTACAGAGACCCTTCCTTGTACAATACGGAGTGGAGGTCCTTCAGAAATAGAGATAGCACCCAATTCCATAAACGATCGACCGCTACATCTGTCATGAGGTGTGAGGCTGAGACTGGATTAACGTCCAATCTCGCTCATCAAGGGGTTATAATGTGAACCGGGACTTATGTCACGTGACTCTCGCTCAACCTCTGTCGCCCTTCGGTTGAACTGAGGCGGTACATCGACCCTATGCTCTGGCGTACGTTCAGATGACGTCCAACTGATCACTGCGACCCTCCAGGCCTCCAAGACGGCCGGAGCATGGCGATGAACGCACCACATTGCGATTGGGAGCTGTCAGTCATAGCATTTTCCATGTACTAATATTGGACAAAATCATGCCTGACCTTTCGTTCTGCGTTTAAGTTCCTTTCCATATTTTCTTGCAGTCTTATATAAAGGGCTGTATATTGCTAAAACTGTATAAAGGCCATTTAAATGTCATTCAAAGACCTGTATCTAGGCTGTGTTTGTGCACTACACCAATTAACGAACCTGTCACTGACATCGTTCATTTAAAAAATATTGCATTTGTATTGAATGTTTGGCGAATAAAGGAAGTCAACATTTCCATCATCTCCTGTGAGTTTCTGTTTTGTAGAGTGTATTTTATATGGTATTGTAATTATACCTTGGTGAAAGTTAGATCGCTGACTTTATATGCTGGTGACTACAGCTATCTGAGAGTGTTGTTTCGAATCCCGGATAGGTTTCAACCTAAACAAAATGTTAGAATTTGTACTTTACTGAGTAAGTGAAATCCCAACAAAACATATATTACATATTACCACTTTCTAAATAGAAAAGTGCATTCATAGTTTTCGGCCGTGGTAGCCGTACCAGTTTACACTTCTCAGACGGGTGCACAAAGTCCATGGTCTAGACTACCAGTTGCCAAATTGCTGGGTGGCTGAGTAGGTTAAATCGCAGACTTTGTGTGATGGCTATTAGGTGCCTCATTCTGAGATTGTGTTTTCGAGTCCCAGAGGGGAGCGCTACCTAAATTAGAATCTGTACTAATTTAGAAAGTGTAATCCCAACAATAACGTGTTGTTTGGAGACGTTGAGAGAGCAAGTTTGTATCATCTCACGTCATGTTTCCACCCTGTATGTCCAGTCAAGGCCTAGTCTGTATCATCTCACGTCATGTTTCCACCCTGTATGTCCAGTCAAGGCCTAGTCTGTATCATATCACGTCGTTTCCACCCTGTATGTCCAGTCAAGGCCTAGTCTGTATCATATCACGTCATGTTTCCACCCTGTATGTCCAGTCAAGGCCTAGTCTGTATCATCTCACGTCATGCTTCCACCCTGTATGTCAAGTCAAGGCCTAGTCTGTATCATCTCACGTCATGTTTCCACCCTGTATGTCCAGTCAAGGCCTAGTCTGTATCATCTCACGTCATGTTTCCGGCCTGTATGTCAAGTCAAGGCCGAGTCTGTATCATCTCACGTCATGTTTCCGGCCTGTGTGTCCAGTCAAGGCCTAGTCTGTATCATCTCACGTCATGTTTCCACCCTGTATGTCCAGTCAAGGCCTAGTCTGTATCATCTCACGTCATGTTTCCACCCTGTATGTCCAGTCAAGGCCTAGTCTGTATCATCTCACGTCATGTTTCCACCCTGTATGTCCAGTCAAGGCCTAGTCTGTATCATCTCACGTCATGTTTCCACCCTGTATGTCCAGTCAAGGCCTAGTCTGTATCATCTCACGTCATGTTTCCACCCTGTATGTCCAGTCAAGGCCTAGTCTGTATCATCTCACGTCATCATCTCGTCATGTTTCCACCCTGTATGTCCAGTCAAGGCCTAGTCTGTATCATCTCACGTCATGTTTCCACCCTGTATGTCCAGTCAAGGCCTAGTCTGTATCATCTCACGTCATGTTTCCACCCTGTATGTCCAGTCACGGCCCTGTATGTCCAGTCAAGGCCTAGTCTGTATCATCTCACGTCATGTTTCCACCCTGTATGTCCAGTCAAGGCCTAGTCTGTATCATCTCACGTCATGTTTCCACCCTGTATGTCCAGTCAAGGCCTAGTCTGTATCATCTCACGTCATGTTTCCACCCTGTATGTCCAGTCAAGGCCTAGTCTGTATCATCTCACGTCATGTTTCCACCCTGTATGTCCAGTCAAGGCCTAGTCTGTATCATCTCACGTCATGTTTCCACCCTGTATGTCCAGTCAAGGCCTAGTCTGTATCATCTCACGTCATGTTTCCACCCTGTATGTCCAGTCAAGGCCTAGTCTGTATCATCTCACGTCATGTTTCCACCCTGTATGTCCAGTCAAGGCCTAGTCTGTATCATCTCACGTCATGTTTCCACCCTGTATGTCCAGTCAAGGCCTAGTCTGTATCATCTCACGTCATGTTTCCACCCTGTATGTCCAGTCAAGGCCTAGTCTGTATCATCTCACGTCATGTTTCCACCCTGTATGTCCAGTCAAGGCCTAGTCTGTATCATCTCACGTCATGTTTCCACCCTGTATGTCCAGTCAAGGCCTAGTCTGTATCATCTCACGTCATGTTTCCACCCTGTATGTCCAGTCAAGGCCTAGTCTGTATCATCTCACGTCATGTTTCCACCCTGTATGTCCAGTCAAGGCCTAGTCTGTATCATCTCACGTCATGTTTCCACCCTGTATGTCCAGTCAAGGCCTAGTCTGTATCATCTCACGTCATGTTTCCACCCTGTATGTCCAGTCAAGGCCTAGTCTGTATCATCTCACGTCATGTTTCCACCCTGTATGTCCAGTCAAGGCCTAGTCTGTATCATCTCACGTCATGTTTCCACCCTGTATGTCCAGTCAAGGCCTAGTCTGTATCATCTCACGTCATGTTTCCACCCTGTATGTCCAGTCAAGGCCTAGTCTGTATCATCTCACGTCATGTTTCCACCCTGTATGTCCAGTCAAGGCCTAGTCTGTATCATCTCACGTCATGTTTCCACCCTGTATGTCCAGTCAAGGCCTAGTCTGTATCATCTCACGTCATGTTTCCACCCTGTATGTCCAGTCAAGGCCTAGTCTGTATCATCTCACGTCATGTTTCCACCCTGTATGTCCAGTCAAGGCCTAGTCTGTATCATCTCACGTCATGTTTCCACCCTGTATGTCCAGTCAAGGCCTAGTCTGTATCATCTCACGTCATGTTTCCACCCTGTATGTCCAGTCAAGGCCTAGTCTGTATCATCTCACGTCATGTTTCCACCCTGTATGTCCAGTCAAGGCCTAGTCTGTATCATCTCACGTCATGTTTCCACCCTGTATGTCCAGTCAAGGCCTAGTCTGTATCATCTCACGTCATGTTTCCACCCTGTATGTCCAGTCAAGGCCTAGTCTGTATCATCTCACGTCATGTTTCCACCCTGTATGTCCAGTCAAGGCCTAGTCTGTATCATCTCACGTCATGTTTCCACCCTGTATGTCCAGTCAAGGCCTAGTCTGTATCATCTCACGTCATGTTTCCACCCTGTATGTCCAGTCAAGGCCTAGTCTGTATCATCTCACGTCATGTTTCCACCCTGTATGTCCAGTCAAGGCCTAGTCTGTATCATCTCACGTCATGTTTCCACCCTGTATGTCCAGTCAAGGCCTAGTCTGTATCATCTCACGTCATGTTTCCACCCTGTATGTCCAGTCAAGGCCTAGTCTGTATCATCTCACGTCATGTTTCCACCCTGTATGTCCAGTCAAGGCCTAGTCTGTATCATCTCACGTCATGTTTCCACCCTGTATGTCCAGTCAAGGCCTAGTCTGTATCATCTCACGTCATGTTTCCACCCTGTATGTCCAGTCAAGGCCTAGTCTGTATCATCTCACGTCATGTTTCCACCCTGTATGTCCAGTCAAGGCCTAGTCTGTATCATCTCACGTCATGTTTCCACCCTGTATGTCCAGTCAAGGCCTAGTCTGTATCATCTCACGTCATGTTTCCACCCTGTATGTCCAGTCAAGGCCTGGTTTGGACGCTTGACCACTGTGGCTGCGTGATGGTCATTATGATCAGCGACTTTAATGCTATCATCAATGTAATTGCATTATATACTGCCATTGACAGACATATGTAACTGTTAGGTCTTTGAAAAATAAATCTCTCTTCCATATATGTACCTGTTGTATACAAGTACACAGAGTCAATACTACATCTGTGTGAGCGCTCATCGACATTACTCCCATGTCAGCTTGACACCCGTCAGTGTGTCCACCATAGCCGTGGGGCGTGACAGATCACGTGACACTCTGATATGCCATGGTTTCAATGAAAATATCACGTGCGTGGAGTCAATATAGCACAGCGATACAGTGTTATATGCACCAGCAATGCTTCACTTCACACTGTCCCAGCAGCTGAATACATTAACGCGCCTTTCACAAAGTGTTCGAAAACCAGCGTTCACGGACCAGGACGTTCCGATTGTGACACGAGCATGTATAGCATGGTACTATTCAGCGTGTAATTTCTTCCTGCATGACGATAGCTATATATACCACGTCACATGACATGTCACGCGGTGAAATCATTGATGACATAAACATTTTTAGAAAATCGTTTCTATTTCCTGATGGATATGATTAATCATTGGTACTGTCATCTGTGACCCTCAAGAGATCGACTGTCCTCTGAGACAGGGTGTCAATTTGGCTTGTATCTCCCCCAGCAGGTGGATATAGTTCCTCGTCACTGGTTATCACTAAGGTAAGCCGAAATATTTACGCTTTGTGTGTAAGGAAACAATTGATATTATTGACAATCCCACCTTGCTATGAGGTCCCTGTCTCTTGTGTCTGTAATGGAAGGACTGATATCACTGACAGCCCCACATGTGTCTGTAATGGAAGGACTGATATCACTGACAGCCCCAAAAGTGTCTGTAATGGAAGGACTGATATCACTGACAGCCCCCAAAGTGTCTGTAATGGAAGGACTGATATCACTGACAGCCCCAAAAGTGTCTGTAATGGAAGGACTGATATCACTGACAGCCCCAAAAGTGTCTGTAATGGAAGGACTGATATCACTGACAGCCCCAAATGTGTCTGTAATGGAAGGACTGATATCACTGACAGCCCACATGTGTCTGTAATGGAAGGACTGATATCACTGACAGCCCCAAATGTGTCTGTAATGGAAGGACTGATATCACTGACAGCCCCAAACGTGTCTGTAATGGAAGGACTGATATCACTGACAGCCCCACATGTGTCTGTAATGGAAGGACTGATATCACTGACAGCCCCAAAAGTGTCTGTAATGGAAGGACTGATATCACTGACAGCCCCACATGTGTCTGTAATGGAAGGACTGATATCACTGACAGCCCCACAGTGTGTCTGTATATGGAAGGACTGATATCACTGACAGCCCCAAAAGTGTCTGTAATGGAAGGACTGATATCACTGACAGCCCCACATGTGTCTGTAATGGAAGGACTGATATCACTGACAGCCCCAAAAGTGTCTGTAATGGAAGGACTGATATCACTGACAGCCCACAAAAGTGTCTGTAATGGAAGGACTGATATCACTGACAGCCCCAAAAGTGTCTGTAATGGAAGGACTGATATCACTGACAGACTGATATCCCACAAGTGTCTGTAATGGAAGGACTGATATCACTGACAGCCCCAAAAGTGTCTGTAATGGAAGGACTGATATCACTGACAGCCCCACACGTGTCTGTAATGGAAGGACTGATATCACTGACAGCCCCAAAAGTGTCTGTAATGGAAGGACTGATATCACTGACAGCCCCACAAAGTGTCTGTAATGGAAGGACTGATATCACTGACAGCCCCACAAGTGTCTGTAATGGAAGGACTGATATCACTGACAGCCCCAAAAGTGTCTGTAATGGAAGGACTGATATCACTGACAGCCCTCACAAGTGTCTGTAATGGAAGGACTGATATCACTGACAGCCCCAAAAGTGTCTGTAATGGAAGGACTGATATCACTGACAGCCCCAAAAGTGTCTGTAATGGAAGGACTGATATCACTGACAGCCCCAAAAGTGTCTGTAATGGAAGGACTGATATCACTGACAGCCCCACATGTGTCTGTAATGGAAGGACTGATATCACTGACAGCCCCAAAAGTGTCTGTAATGGAAGGACTGATATCACTGACAGCCCCAAAAGTGTCTGTAATGGAAGGACTGATATCACTGACAGCCCCAAAAGTGTCTGTAATGGAAGGACTGATATCACTGACAGCCCCAAAAGTGTCTGTAATGGAAGGACTGATATCACTGACAGCCCCAAAACATGTGTCTGTAATGGAAGGACTGATATCACTGACAGCCCCACATGTGTCTGTAATGGAAGGACTGATATCACTGACAGCCCCATACAAGTGTCTGTAATGGAAGGACTGATATCACTGACAGCCCCACATGTGTCTGTAATGGAAGGACTGATATCACTGACAGCCCCACATGTGTCTGTAATGGAAGGACTGATATCACTGACAGCCCCACATGTGTCTGTAATGGAAGGACTGATATCACTGACAGCCCCAAAAGTGTCTGTAATGGAAGGACTGATATCACTGACAGCCCCAAAAGTGTCTGTAATGGAAGGACTGATATCACTGACAGCCCCAAAAGTGTCTGTAATGGAAGGACTGATATCACTGACAGCCCCACAAGTGTCTGTAATGGAAGGACTGATATCACTGACAGCCCCAAAAGTGTCTGTAATGGAAGGACTGATATCACTGACAGCCCCACATGTGTCTGTAATGGAAGGACTGATATCACTGACAGCCCCAAAAGTGTCTGTAATGGAAGGACTGATATCACTGACAGCCCCACATGTGTCTGTAATGGAAGGACTGATATCACTGACAGCCCCAAATGTGTCTGTGTCTGTAATGGAAGGACTGATATCACTGACAGCCCCAAAAGTGTCTGTAATGGAAGGACTGATATCACTGACAGCCCCAAAAGTGTCTGTAATGGAAGGACTGATATCACTGACAGCCCCACATGTGTCTGTAATGGAAGGACTGACAGCCCCACAAGTGTCTGTAATGGAAGGACTGATATCACTGACAGCCCCAAATGTGTCTGTAATGGAAGGACTGATATCACTGACAGCCCCAAAGTGTCTGTAATGGAAGGACTGATATCACTGACAGTAAAGTGTCTGTAATGGAAGGACTGATATCACTGACAGCCCCCACATGTGTCTGTAATGGAAGGACTGATATCACTGACAGCCCCACATGTGTCTGTAATGGAAGGACTGATATCACTGACAGCCCCAAAAGTGTCTGTAATGGAAGGACTGATATCACTGACAGCCCCACATGTGTCTGTAATGGAAGGACTGATATCACTGACAGCCCCAAAAGTGTCTGTAATGGAAGGACTGATATCACTGACAGCCCCAAAAGTGTCTGTAATGGAAGGACTGATATCACTGACAGCCCCAAAAGTGTCTGTAATGGAAGGACTGATATCACTGACAGCCCCAAAAGTGTCTGTAATGGAAGGACTGATATCACTGACAGCCCCAAAAGTGTCTGTAATGGAAGGACTGATATCACTGACAGCCCCAAAAGTGTCTGTAATGGAAGGACTGATATCACTGACAGCCCCACATGTGTCTGTAATGGAAGGACTGATATCACTGACAGCCCCACATGTGTCTGTAATGGAAGGACTGATATCACTGACAGCCCCAAAAGTGTCTGTAATGGAAGGACTGATATCACTGACAGCCCCAAATGTGTCTGTAATGGAAGGACTGATATCACTGACAGCCCCACATGTGTCTGTAATGGAAGGACTGATATCACTGACAGCCCCAAAAGTGTCTGTAATGGAAGGACTGATATCACTGACAGCCCCCAAAAGTGTGTGTCTGTAATGGAAGGACTGATATCACTGACAGCCCCAAATGTGTCTGTAATGGAAGGACTGATATCACTGACAGCCCCAAAAGTGTCTGTAATGGAAGGACTGATATCACTGACAGCCTGACATTACAAGTGTGTCTGTAATGGAAGGACTGATATCACTGACAGCCCCACATGTGTCTGTAATGGAAGGACTGATATCACTGACAGCCCCAAAAGTGTCTGTAATGGAAGGACTGATATCACTGACAGCCCCAAATGTGTCTGTAATGGAAGGACTGATATCACTGACAGCCCCAAAAGTGTCTGTAATGGAAGGACTGATATCACTGACAGCCCCACATGTGTCTGTAATGGAAGGACTGATATCACTGACACAGCCCCAAAAGTGTCTGTAATGGAAGGACTGATATCACTGACAGCCCCACATGTGTCTGTAATGGAAGGACTGATATCACTGACAGCCCCACATGTGTCTGTAATGGAAGGACTGATATCACTGACAGCCCCAAAGTGTCTGTAATGGAAGGACTGATATCACTGACAGACCCAAATGTGTCTGTAATGGAAGGACTGATATGGAAGGACTGATATCACTGACAGCCCACATGTGTCTGTAATGGAAGGACTGATATCACTGACAGCCCCAAAAGTGTCTGTAATGGAAGGACTGATATCACTGACAGCCCCAAAAGTGTCTGTAATGGAAGGACTGATATCACTGACAGCCCCACATGTGTCTGTAATGGAAGGACTGATATCACTGACAGCCCCCAAAGTGTCTGTAATGGAAGGACTGATATCACTGACAGCCCCAAAAGTGTCTGTAATGGAAGGACTGATATCACTGACAGCCCCAAATGTGTCTGTAATGGAAGGACTGATATCACTGACAGCCCCACATGTGTCTGTAATGGAAGGACTGATATCACTGACAGCCCCAAAAGTGTCTGTAATGGAAGGACTGATATCACTGACAGCCCCAAATGTGTCTGTAATGGAAGGACTGATATCACTGACAGCCCCAAATGTGTCTGTAATGGAAGGACTGATATCACTGACAGCCCCAAAAGTGTCTGTAATGGAAGGACTGATATCACTGACAGCCCCAAAAGTGTCCCACATGTGACAACTACATGTGTCTGTAATGGAAGGACTGATATCACTGACAGCCCCAATGTGTCTGTAATGGAAGGACTGATATCACTGACAGACAGCCCCAAAGTGTGTCTGTAATGGAAGGACTGATATCACTGACAGCCCCATGTGTCTGTAATGGAAGGACTGATATCACTGACAGCCCCAAAAGTGTCTGTAATAACTGATATCAGCCCCTGATATGTCTGTAATGGAAGGACTGATATCACTGACAGCCCCAAAAGTGTCTGTAATGGAAGGACTGATATCACTGACAGCCCCACATGTGTCTGTAATGGAAGGACTGATATCACTGACAGCCCCAAAAGTGTCTGTAATGGAAGGACTGATATCACTGACAGCCCCAAAATGTGTCTGTAATGGAAGGACTGATATCACTGACAGCCCCACATGTGTCTGTAATGGAAGGACTGATATCACTGACAGCCCCACATGTGTCTGTAATGGAAGGACTGATATCACTGACAGCCCCAAAAGTGTCTGTAATGGAAGGACTGATATCACTGACAGCCCCAAATGTGTCTGTAATGGAAGGACTGATATCACTGACAGCCCCCAATGTGTCTGTAATGGAAGGACTGATATCACTGACAGCCCCAAATGTGTCTGTAATGGAAGGACTGATATCACTGACAGCCCCAAATGTGTCTGTAATGGAAGGACTGATATCACTGACAG